CCGGCGGGGCGGGCGCCGCGGCCGCGGCCGGGAGCAGCGCGGGGCCGCCCGCCCCGCGGACACCGCTCTGCCCCGCAGCTCGCGGGGAAGCCACAGCTATGGGCAGCTCTGCCCAGCGGGGACACCTGCTAATTGCTCCCAATTAGCTCTCGGCAACAGCCCCGCTGCCTSACAGGTCGGGGTGCGGGGCTCTAGGCACGAGGTAACTCCCCTGCTGCCAGGCTCTGTCTCTGCTGGACTTTGCTGGGGGATTTGAGTTTCCAGCAGCTCATTTGCTGAGGAATTTGTTGATTTTGCAGGCGTGTTAACACAGACCAAGGGAAAAAGATGGACTTTCAATTAAGAGGGAATGCATAGGTTTCCAAGAGAAATAAAAAGTATCAGGACCAAATCAAGTAAATAAATAAAAGAATAAATCATGTAATTAGGAAGAGGGAAGTGAGCAGTCAACAAAATATCCACAACTTTAATTTCCTATATTTAATTTGCTTTTATGAATGAGAAAAAAATGTTCAGACTTCCAGTGGGCCCCAATGTTCTAGAGCAGAAGTGAGAAGCCAACAGTCATATGGGACAGAGTTTACAGAAACCAATTGCCCCATATAAGCCTACAGTTGCAAGAGAGCTTTCAAAAAAAAAAAATGTTTAGGCAGTGCAGATTAGAGAAAATAGATTAAAAAATCACTGTGCAAGTTTGCATGTACATTTTTGCAATATGCAACATACGTGGTAGTCACAATCACACACATATAGTGGTCATGTCAATGTGCACACGTCACAAGCCCACAGTCAGGTATTTTACATGACTCTCCAAATAAACCTGGCATATTTTATTCTGTAAATAATCTCTTATTCTTAAAATATGAATACACAAAAGTCATTGACCCACTCAAATAACTCTGTTTAGATAATTCAGCAAAAAGTCATGGTATCATCTTCAAAGAGACATTGTAATCTTAGGATGACAAGTTTTCTTCTTCTCTGTTTTCAGAACAATACAGTAGATCATTTCTCCTTGTGAAAGATTTCCAGATTCCTCTTCATACACCATTTCTAGTGCCTGGTTTCTAGACATTCCTCTCGTAACAAGATCTTCCCTTTAACATTTTCAGCTTTTTTACTGTCATTTTTTCCTCTGCTTTATATTTCAGAGATTTAACTTTTGTCAGACAGCAACCAAGTTGACTAATTTAAATGTTATTCCTTTGACTGTTCAAGAACTGAGTTTCCTCTTTCAGAATGGTACCATAAAAAACTTTAATTCTAACCTTTTTTTTTTTTTTTTTTTCATTTATCACTGGTTCACAGCCACCTCAAGAGTGAGCACTGTTAGGGTATTTACGGACTGAATTAGAACAATTTTCTAGTAGGTAAATGTCCTGCATAAAACATAGAACATTTTGGGAAGAGTGCAGGAAAACTTCTACTGACATTGTTGTGATGTGCATGTTATGTGACTTCTACATACCTTGATTCACATGTTCAGTAGAGATTCACCTATCGTGAAAAAAGTAACCATTAATGCATTTTTTTCCAAAACAATATATTCATTGTATTTCTCTTATATATACTCTTAGAAAATATTTACATATATATATATATATTTGTAGGAAATGGATTTGGTGATGGTGGAATGACTTGTCAGGAGATTTTCAAAATAGTAAAATCTGATTCTGTGATTTTAAAACCTGTGGGTAACCACAAATTCTAGGTGAGCATCTTTGACTTGGTGACAGAMCCTACAACTTTTTGATTAAATAATACAGATCATTAATTACAATGTTCTACATATATCTAACTATTTGACACCCGCATTTAAGATAATTCATTCAAATAATACAGATACATTTTATTTCAGAATCTTGTGAGTTGTTCTTGTTGAAGTTAAAATGTTCCAACAATGAAACAATGAATGCTTTCGGATCAAACTAAAAAAAAATGCTATCAAAGCATCTTGGTCTTTTTTTYTTTTTTTTTTTTTTTTTGAATTACCAGAAAAATTTTGCAATTCCAGATCACAAGTTCAAATGCAAAAACAAAAAAATGCATAATACGGAGTTGTATAGTTAACTGTCATACTCAAATGGAATACTAATGGAGGCAAACTTTTCTTCCACTTCATAAAATCTTGGAAGGGATGTACTGATAATAAAGTGCAGTTACTGTCGTACAATACCAAATGAAATAGGGCACTAATAATTAATCTCATTCAACTTCAATTTAGTGGGAATAAAATTCAATTATGTCCAGTTATTAAAAAGAGAGAGAGACAGAGAGAAAGAAAAGCCCTTGAGCCCCCTAAGTATAGTGCTAAAAATGAGGTTATGTCACTAAAATTCATTTGTTGTGTTCATTTTAAGGTATATCATCAATGTATAATCATTTTAAGGTATATCATCAATGTATAATCATAATAATGTCATCAAYTGAAACAGACATCAATAGAAAGCATTTACAAAAATACTTCATACAAATTCACCAGTAATTATAGTCTCCCATTTTGTATCCTTTACATTCTTAAAGGTTGAGACCAGTAGTTACTAATCACCTTGTAACATGCACAGAGCTAGAGAAAAAAAATCCAAACTAGTTTCAGTTAGGCAACAACAACAAAGTGTATTTAAAGTACTATTCTCTTGGGGGAAAAAAAAAGGAAGCCAATTAAAAACTAGTTACCTTTTCACATGTACTCCATGCACAGACTTCTAGCAGCAGAAGACATGAGACATTGAAGGTCAGCAGCAAGAACACGCAGCACTTCCAGAGACAGCAAAAAGTGAACACCATTAGATTAAAAGATAAATGCGGCCATTAAAGTTTCAATGCATTACTCTAGTCTTTCTTAATTAATTTGATAAACTGCATAAGAGTACAGAGCCAAGATTCACAAACAAGGATTAATTTTGAGTCTAGGGGAAACAATTGTTCAGTTTGTTTGGATTTTTTATGGCTATCTTGGAGATCAATCCCACTAGGAAAACTCTCTAGAGTTTTATACGCCCCTGTCATAACGTCTGAATGCCTAACAGCTCAACACATTTATCTTCCAGCAGTCTGTAAGAGGTAAATTAGTATGCTTATTTTATAGATAGGAAACAAAATTATAGAGATGAGCTCAAAGCAAAATGCAACCAAGAAGAAACAAAGACCTAAATAAATTAAGAAGGTTGAAATAAGAAATTGAAAGAAAATATATGTAACATTAGGAAGATTAGTGGAGTCAAAGTAAYTGCAGCTCTCACCTGCCACCTTTTTAGCTACTCAGCCCTATTACTGAGACAAATGAATGGGTCAAAGCCCAAAATATAGAGCTCGTAGATGACATGGAAACTATGATACGCACCAAGGAACTGAGCCCTGCCAAATCCTAGGCTAATGCCTGAGTCATTGAAACTAGCAGAGACACTATGGAAGATGGAAGGATTTTCATGGATATTACACACAACCATTGCCCCATAACACAGACAATGCCGTACCACCTTGCACCATGCTAAAGATTCACAGGATAGGGTAGGTCTGCCACAAGTAAAATCCTGCTTATCAGACTTTTCTCGTCTGCTTGTTTATACATTTGTTAGACTAAAAATGAGTGTTTTTGCACACTTTCCTCACTTACAGAAAATGTGTGGCAAGACCCTGATCATAAAACAGCTTATTGGTATGTGTAACTTGACATAAGTCAGAATTAGGCAGACATTCAAGACTTTTTAGACTCTTAGGAGAAGACTTATGGAGAAAAAAAAAAGGAATTTATGGCTCCTGGAAAAACTTCTAGCCAGTGAGTTAAGATGGAAACAGAAAACAGTTCTTAAGCCGTCAAAAAAAAAAAAAAAGTACATTGAAGTCCTGAATAAATTCAGCTATGTATCTTGGAAAACATAAACAACCTAAACATTAAGCTATACGCCTAATTTAAAGGTCAAAGAAAAGAACAAAGACATGTAATGCATAAATATCAACATTTTATCATTTTAACATGTTGCTGAAGATCTTAGAATTTGAGCTATGAAAGGAGAATCACAGAATCACAGGGCTGGAAGAGACCTCTAAAAATCATCTAGTCTAACCCCTCTACTTAAAAAGGGAGACCTAGAGCATTCTGGGTCACAAGGGAAACTGCACAGAATTACGAAATCCACCAATATTCTAACAAAACAATGTATTTTTTAACTTGTCTTATACAATCAGAACAATGAGGGTTTCATCCTCCCTGGCCAAAAATTAAGTGACTTAGTCAAACAGCAAATTTTAAGTCATGCTTGTGAACATCCTTTTTGTTACAAAAGGGAGTATTTGAAAGAGCATTTTAAAAGAAATTCATTATCTTGCCAAAGCGTCATTTATAAGCCCTGGCAATACAAGTGATTGTGCCTGAAACCAACCAGTTGAAGACTGACGTTTATTTTTCACTACCAATATATCCTTCATTATTGCCCCACCTAAAATAGGTGGGAATAGGTGGGGTGGCAAAAAGTAGAAGTGGAAAGGTCTTATTGATATGAAACRAATCCACTTCATAGGAAACTGAGTTTTGTTACCAGCTCTTTTGTTCACTACCTTTGCTTTTATAATGGAAGAGTTTGGGCTTTCTATTTTGAGAAGGAATGAGCTATAAAGTGTTTGTTTCCTCAGTGCGTACAATAACATCAAAATTTGTTTGAGGCTAGTTATTTTCCTGAAGGCATCTAGAAGCCTATGCCTGACTGTAAGGGAGGTATGGG